CTCCATTTCAAAAGAAGGCCTTAGATTTTGTTCTCATGTTCCCAAAGGGAAAAGTTTTAGGCCAGAGAAAAAAGTATTTCTTAATATTTCTAGAGAAACTAAAAAGGATATTTTATTTGTTTCCACAATGTGTATGTGTAAATTGGTCAGCTCCTTGTTAGACAAATAGTAGATAGAAGATAATCTCAGAGAAGGACCAGGAAAAGGCTTCCTGCAGAAGATTAAAGTTGAGCTCAATCTTGAAAAAAGTTAAGAAAACTAGGAGGTGACAGTAGAGAGATCAGAGCATTCCAGGAATGAGAGGCAGCCAGTACGAAAGCACAGGATGGGAGATGGAATAGCATGTTTGAGAAACAGCAAATAGGCCAGTCTAGCTGATCATAAAGTACATAGAAGAGAGTAAAGTATATGAACTCTGGAAAGGTAGGCAGGGGCCAGGTAAAGAACAGCTGTGCATGTGAAATGGAGGAGTTTATATCTGAACCAAGAGGTAATAAAGAAACAATGAACATTGAGCCCGGGCATGACATAGACCTAGGCTTTAGAAAAGTCATTTTGGTAGCTACATGGACAGTGGAGTAGAATAGGGAGAGCCTTGAGGAAGAGAGACTAATTAGAGGGTGATTGCAATAGTCCAAATGAGAAATAATGAAGGGTTGAATGAGGGTGGTGGCTATGTATGTGGAGAGAAGACAATATGTTGTAAGTCAGGAACAACCAATTTTGGCAGTGAGCAATTATGACTTCAGAGAATTGATGATGAAGCATGCCTCCTTCCTCTTAACAAAAAGGAGGTGTTCTGTAGAATGAGGTGTATATATTGTCAGATGTGGCCATTTTCTTCATTTGTTTTGCTTAATTCTTTTTTTTCCCAATAGAGGCTTCCATGGCAAGCATGGGGGTAGAAGAATGGGGAATCATTGGAAAGTAAACACGATTTTTTGAAAAAGCATTAATAGAAAGGAAGCTACCACCTTCATTCAACCCTTCATTACTTGTTATTTGAGTGATTTCAGTTACCCTCTAATTAGTTTCCATTCCTCAAGGCTCTCCTCCCTCCAGTCCACTGTCCATTGAGCTACCAAGGTGATTTTTCTAAAGCATAGGTCTGACTGTTTCATGCCCCTGTTCAATGGTTCAATACCCATTGGTTTCTTATTACCTCCAGGATCAAGTAGGAAGGAAGGAAGAAGGAGGAAGGAAGAAGGGAGGGAAGGAAGGAGGGAAAGTAGGTTAGTTCTCCTTCACAGTTTTGCCCACCATTGTCCTACCGTGTTATGGTAGAGGGGGAAAAGTAAAGGCCTGGAGATAGGTGGCCTGAGCTGTTAACTCTGCCAGGCAGTCCTAAGAAACCTTCAGTAAGTCACTTCAGTGTCTTCATCAGGAAAATGCAAATTCCAAGATCCTTTCTATCCCTAATGTTCTATGATACTCAGAGGTTAAAATTAAGGGCAGGAAGATTTATTATGGAAGAACACCATTCCCAAGGGCTCATTGGATCACATTACTCAAGTTACATTCACATTTGAGGTAAGTTTGGATTTCAAAATCCAGCAATGAGGCACGGGGTAAAAAGCAAGTAAAGAACATGTCCTGATCATTGGCAAGAAAAGGAATGACAAATTACAGCATAATTTGTCACCATCTCGAAGCTCAGTAATTTCTTGTCCCTGAAAGAATTAATACAAGAAGGGAAATGGTGCTATTTTTAGAAGCTAGTTGATAAGTGATTTGTTTCAAGCAGGAGAAATGTGTCCGCTCAGTTTTGGTGCCAAGCAAACAGGACAAAAATATACCCGCAAACCAACTTTTGAAGACAAATTTATTGGGGCAGGGGGAGCACAGAATGCTGGAAGGGAAACAAGGCCCGACGAGGTAGCCAGAGACTGTGAGGCTACTGTGATAGGGGATAGTAAAGAAGCTCACTTGGAATATAGCTGCTGGGGGGAGGAAGCCTGACACCTTTCTGCTTTAATCTTGCTAACTAGGTGCTAAGCTCAATTGTTTCTTCTCTTCCATAAGAGTACAATTGTGAGCACCCTCCAAATATTGGTGCCCTATCTAATATAGGCCAGTGCTACAGATCTTTCAAACAACACATTTGTGGTTTGTTTTTAAAGTCTTTTTGCTTTTTTCATAATAATGGTCAGTCAAAAAACATCGATGAAGCACCTCTTCTGTGCCAGGCACTATGCTAAATGCTAGGGATACAAAGAAAAGCAAAAAAATAGTCCCTGCCCTCAAGGAGCTTACAGTCTAATTATGGTTAGTCAAAGAGCTTACATTTGTATTATGCTTTACGATTTACAAAGCCTCCTCACAGGTGATATAATAGAAGAAGCTGAGTTCCAATCCTTACTCTGCCATATGATGCTTATGGGACCTTGGATAGTCACACAAGTGGCCACCTCTTTGGACCTCATGTTCCTCATCTGTAAGATAAGGAAGTTGGACTAGAAACCTTCTAATATTGCTTCCAGCTCTAGTCTATGATCATTGTACTACTGTACCTATTATCTCATTTGTGTGAAACAAACAGGGCACGTTTTAACATCCTCATTTAAGATAGGAGGAAACAGAAACTCAGAGAGGATAACATTGCCTTTGTTACCATGTATTTGCCCTTTATTTCTATGTCCTGTGAAACTTAGTGACAAATTTATCCTTCATGCCACATGCTTATAAGGGGGATTTCAAGGGACTCCCAAGAATAACCCCCTTCACAAACTCTATTTCAGAAACACCATCTAGGAGTTCAGAGGATAGAGTGAATTAGAGCGCGATAACTGGAATCAATTGTTGTTCAATTGTGTCCGACTTTTCATGTCCCGATTTAAGGGGTTTTTTTGGGCAGATATACAAGTGGCTCGCCATTTCTTTCTCCAGCTCATTTTACAGATGAGGAAACTGAGGCAAACAGAGTTAAGTGACTTACCCAGGGTCACACAGCTAGTGTCTGAGGCCAGATATGAACTCAGAAAGATGAGTCTTCCTGACTTCAGGCCCAAAACTCTTATCTACTGTACCACCTAGATGCCTTGGAATCAAGAAGACCCTAGTTCAAATCTTGCCTCATCTACTTAACTAGCTGTGCGATTCTAGCTTGTCACTTCACCTCTGTCTGCTTCAGTTTCCTCGTCTGTAAAGTGGGAATAATAACAGCACCTAACTTCCAGAGTTGTTGCGAGGATGAAAGGAGATAATATTTATGAAGCATTTTGTAAACCTTAGAGTGCTTTATAAATGCTAGCTTTTTTTCACATTTCTGACTACACCATGCATAAAACACCACTACCACCACCTTATATAAGCGTTAACGACTTTCAAAGTGTTTTCAAATCTCATGATCTTATTTTATCCTCACAATAAAAACTTCAATGGCTCCCTATTATCTCTATGATAGAATGCAGACTTCTTATCACAGGGCACTTAAGGTCATACCTACACAGTATGGCTTCAACTTACTTTTCCAATCTTATTTCACCTGACCCCCTTCACATAGGTTCCATTCCAGTCAAAATGTAACTGTTTATAACTGTTCCACCAACTCAACATATCATTTCCTACCTCAGTCCATTTCTCCAAGCCTGTGTTGGAATTCATATACTCTTTCCTCATGAAAATTGGGATTTTTGAAATATGTTGTTTGATATTGAAACTATAAGTGATAGAACTCCAATCTGGAGTCACTTAGGCTGAGTAGTCCTCATGACCATAAACAATGAGCAATGACAGCCTGAATTGTCCTGTCCTGTCCTGTCTACTGTCCTGACTCCTTCTGACCCTGTGCCAAACACATCATAAATGATCTTGGCTTCTGATTGGGGGAAAGTCCCCACCAACACCCATTTCTGGGTTTCCCATTACAGATTCAGACCCTCACCCAACTTCTGCTTGCAGTTAGGAAACTCCTTTACCCAAATCTGGTATCAATAAGTGACTTGGGGCATTTCACTACCACATCTGAGTGTGGTTCAGAATGTCACCTCCCACATCTGAAATCGATTACCTGTCCTCAGTCAAGCTTGTCTTTAAGGTATAAAACTTCCCTGCTCAAACCTACTCAAAGAATATACTTCCACAGAGATTTTTGCCATGGTAAGTGATTCCTTCCGTCACATGAGTGACCCTGGCCCTGTGTATGGCCAAATCTCTGTCTGCATTGTCATATAGTGTGTGTGTGTGTGTGTATGCTTTTGTTTTTGCCTGCTTGCTGTGCTACATAGTAATAAAGCTCATGCTTGTACTAGCTTCTTAAGTACCAATTTTTTTTGTAAATCCTCAAACCCGCATCTTTGCTCTAACTCAGGCCAGGAGACCAAATAGAGTATTCTTCATCTTCACCTGTCAGGGACCTTTAAGGCTCAGTTCAGGTACCACCTCTTCCATGTAGCCTTCTCCAGTCCCTCCCCAACTCAGGGTAGCAATCTCTCCCTCAAATTTTCCTAGGGGCCATTGAATGATTCTCCCCTTTGCCCTATCATTTCATACCTGATACTAGTCACATACATGCCCTATCCCCATTCAATAGCATGCAGGCTCCTTGAAGGCAGAGACTTCTTGAAGGCAGTGTCATTTTTAAAAACATTTTTATCCCCATTACCTAGGCAGAGACTCTTTCTTGCATATAGTAGGCTTTGCAAAGTTTCCTGCCTCCCACACTTGTATATTTCCTATTATACTATATTATCCTAAAAATGGGAGGGGGGATCTAAAGAGATTCAGGCAATGGAGTAGGTCTCAGGCTAGGTGATCCCTATTGTATACTTTGCTGGGCTCTCAAGTACACATTGGTGATTTTGGTCGCTTTTCTCTCCCATAATGAGGATTTAACTTTTTCTTCCACTGTATTAGAATTCTCAGATGATGACAAAGAAGGGATTACCCCTTGCTGGGCTGCTAATTCGGAACAGTTCTAATAGTGATTAGCTTGTCTGATGATCCTATTAAAAACTGGGTCTATCCAACGAGATAAACTCATGGTATAATCTTTCTTACAGGAGCCTCAGTTTGAACCAGAACTCTTTCAAAGCAAGATCGTGTGTGAGAAGCCTAACAATAACCTCAGTAGATTCAAAGGTTATATGTAAGTAACCAATGGCCCCACGCTATCTTCCATTGTCCCTTGTTTGTCTTTGCAACTACTGAGTTGGGATATTTTCTTGAAATGACTTGGTGGACATTTGTGGTTCAGAGCACCAATTTCTACCACATGAAGGGAGTTTGACATTGAAAAGCCTGTCTGCTACTCAGACAGTTTTATAATTCATTTAACAATGGTTGTGTTGTGGAAAGAACCTTGAATATGGAGTCAAAAGATCAGTGTTCTCATCCCAGCTCTGTCACTAGCTAACCCTGTGACCTCAGGCAAGTCGCTTAATTTACCTGAGCCCAGTTTCCTCATCTGTCAAATAGGGATCAAACAGCAAATCACATTTGAGTTCACATTTGGGTTCACATTTCAGGGGCTCTTTCAGGCTTACAAAGCGTTTTCCTCCCGACAACCCTGTAAGGCAGGTAGTATAAGTTGTTAGAATATACTTTTGATAGATGAGGAAACTGAGGCTCAGAGAGGTCAAGCAACTTGCCCAGACTTGAGGTTCAAAACTAAGTGTTCTGACTCAAAGTCCAATACTCTTTCTACTGTACCAATACTGTATCTCTGATATACCCTAAAAAAATCAAGAACCCACAAATGTAAAATATTACAGTGTTATAATTTAATACTTCAATAGATCTATGATCTCTTTAGTACCTCCATTTCACTTCAATTCGACAAACATCTCTTTAGTACCTACTGTGTGCAAGGCATTGTGCTTACAATACAAGGCTGTGTATCCTGGCCTTCTCATTTTATGTCATTCTTGTCTATGTCCTCCCATAAGTCCTCCATAGACAAACTGCTCGTTGTGCTAGAGGTCATTTTCTAGGTCTTTTGGAATTCTTTGGGTACCAGTGGAGAACTTAGTCAGTTTGTTCACCCATTACTTTTGACTTATGACCAAGGCATCAGACTCACAGTCCAAATATAATACAACATAGATAATGTTCATTTGTGGTTTTCTAAGTCAATTTTCAGGCTGCCAGGATCTGTTTCTATTGCATCTTAACACCACTGACTGAGGCATCACCTTTTCTGATCATCTATTTCCTGGGTGATATACTTTACATTAATCATAATTGGTAATATGCTCCAGCCTACTCATACCCACTGTGCATATTTCCATTGTCCTTTGGATTACCCACGTTTTTGATTCTTTGGAGATTATGGTGTTCCATGATTCACAGACCCATTCATCATTACCCAAAGACCCAAAGGTGAATTTCTGTGTCAGGTGACAACTAGGAATTATTGAAAGTGATGCTTCATTTCTCAAAGGCAGTCCAGCCAGTTCTCTTCCTCCTGTTCAATTCTAAGCCCTGTCCAAGTCAGATATACTGATAAACTAACCCAGTGAATGGGGCTTCCAACTGCTTATTATATCCTGAGACAATAAGTATTCTTTATCCATTTGGTTTTTCCTGTATGAATCATTAAACCTATCTCTTTTGAGTGGCCAGGGATCTCAGTGAGCTAGCCCTGTAATTATTCCAAGTACTGATGGGTTCAGCACTATATCATCCCCAAACAGAAGCCTCTAAAGGACTTCACCTTCAAGAGGGAATCCCCCTTCCATTTGGACTCTTTGCAGGATAGCTTTGGTGAGCATACATCTCCTTGTTTTCTGCCTCACTTCACATTGATATCAGAGATTTATTGAACAAAGCTATCTCTATGGTTACATTTATCAAAAAGTCATATGTGATTTTAGCATATTCATAAAAGACACTTCAGATGCATCTTGGTCTACTGAATTCAAGTTTGTTTTTTATAAACAGCACTCAGTCAATGCAACATGGTCTTTATTCTCTTCACATTTCAATTTCTTGTTTGACTGTGAAGACGTGGTGTCTCTTAGAAAATCAGTTGCAAAAGCCTTCCTGTTCCCTTATCATATTTTCATCAGAGATACCTTTTGCACCTGTGTAGGTCATAGGATCATTGCCCTGGAGCTAGAAGAGACTACATACAAAGGCCCTAGTCCAGCCTGCTCATTTTTACAGATCAGTTTCATAAAGATTTCATACAGATGAGAAAACAGACATACTGGTCAGTAGTTGCTTATGTCTTCTTGCTCACAATTCTGTAGTAGTAAATCTTTTATGATTTTTTCCAATCACTTGCAGTCTTCCACCCTCTTTTAGATATACTAAAATTTGATTCCCTTATCATTTTCAAAATCATGACACCTCAAGAACAAAGCTCTTCTTTTTGACTTTCTGACGTAATTCCCTTGAGTTTTATTTCCACTTCCTTATGTAGTATATTGTGAATTGTCAACAGGCAATCACAACTTTATGAAACTTACATGAAAACTACGTTTATTACAAGAGAAATGAACATGCAGGTGGAACCCAAAGAGTTCACAATCCATACAGAAGTTTGCATATTTATGACAGTAAAACAAAAGGGAGAAGGAGAAACCAGAAATCTCTACCTAAAGGGGCGTGGCATGGGAGGAGGAAAGATGTAGTAAAGGTGGGAAAAGGACAAAACCCCTCCCAAAGAAGAGGAGTCAAGTGATGACAAAAGTGACATTCTTTTCCCTTGCAAACTGCTAGACGATGAATATAGAGTGATTTGCTCATCTACAAGAGTCCCATATGTACAAGCAGTTTCTCAGATGAGTGGGGACCAACTGGCACTTGTCTTGACTCCCAAGGACACACAGGGAATCCAATTTGGGATGCAAACAACAAATTATGTCAGCTTGGAGGGAGGGTTATGGGGGTCATGGTCCTTTTTCCTTAACATATTCAGGGCCTTCTGTATACTCTGGGTCCAGTGTTTCTGGCAAATATGACAACTCAAAAAGACAAGTTCAGAGGACCCCTTTATATTCCTAAATAGAACTGAGGTTAAAGACCGTGGTCAACAATGATGAGCATATGTATCAATAAAATGTATTTGTTTCATTTTTTCTCCTATTTGTTTCTGCCACTTTCCACCCTCAATTATAAATGATCTTGGGTCTTTATGCTGTGCTTTTTACAAACTCATTTTCTCTCCCACTACCTTTCATTCTTTTGTGAGGTCATAGTACTTGTGATCTTCCCCCAACCACCTCATTTTACAAATTGAGTTTCTATTCAAAACCTAGTCTACCCTTGGCTGCCATTTCTCTCTGTTTGGCAAAGAGATGTAGTGTTGGCTGAGTGAACTGGATTCTGGGGTCTTTTGGCCTCCTCAATGTGGCAATTGAGTTTTATCAGTTAAAAGTCTGAGGGAAATATTAATAATCAGAGTCAAAGCCAGTTCCTTTATCTATTTTCTACTTTTCATCTAATGTGATTAGCTCAAGGAATAGCTGTTATAATTGCATGAAATTCACCATTATCTTTTCTTCACCATTATCCTCTTTTTCTTGTTTGTGATGTTTTTGACCTTTGCTTTACTAGTCCATAAATTAATCTTTAGGAAATAATCATTTGAAGTTAGTAGACAGTCAATTTCATTTTTGGTGACATTATTTTATGCTTATCATGTTTAGTTTTGTCTGATTCTCTTATTGAAGAAATTATTCAGGATATATTAGCACTAGATTTCTGAATAGTCTACAAGCTTTTGGTCTTCCTTTATCCCAATTCATAATACCTTGTACCATACAATGAAACAAGGCACCGCTATACTGATCCAAATATAAGCTGTCCACTCATAGAGGCTGACATTGAGAAATGATTGCACAAAAAATGCAAATGTGTGTGCATGTGTGTGTATGTATATATATAGTATATATGTACATATATATATACCCAAAGTAGCTCTTTTATATTCTTTCAATTCAAATAAAGATATTTCATTTAATCTGATCACCACCTCCTTTTTTCAGCTTCATTACTTTGTCTTTCTCTTATTAAAATTGTAATTTTAGGCCATTCTCAGATTTTTCACAAGCCTTACTGTGTAAAAAAGCAGGAAAAGTATGGTCTGTGTTCAGTTTTAAAAACTTTTGTTATACACCTAAAAGTTTTAAAAACTTTTATTATATACCTAATTTGTATAAAGCACCATACCTATACTTGAGACCATAGGGTATTATTGTAAAAATCCCATTAATACCTCCTCTGGCTAGACCTGTTTTTTCTTTTGTATAGAACAGGGACGTGAAGAGGTTCCCTCCGCTAGTGCGGATCAGCCAGTCTTCTGCAAACTATAGTAGTCAGATAGTAAAACACTGGGAGGTTAAGTATACAGACTGAATTCACCAGCCAGGTTTTGAGGAGGTGGGACTTGAGCCAGGTATTCTTGACTCTGAAGCTGCCCTTCTCTCTGTTACATACTACTGTCTTTCCTAGCCAAACATAAAGAGAGAAAGGATTTGGATTCAATGTCCCAGTGCAGATACAGTGATCTCATATTGGAGAAGTCACATGGTATAATGGAAAGATCATAGACTGTGGAGTCAGAGGATCTTGCAAGGTTCAAGTCCCACCTCTGAAACTTGAGGAAGTGACTTAATTTCTCTGATCCCCATTTTCCTTAGCTGGAAAAAGAAGGGGTTAAACTAGAAGACATTTGAGGTCCCTTCCAGCTCTACTGATTCCAGCATCTATTGATTCAAGTATTTAGGGACCCATGGTTTTGGCAGTGTGGATACTGCCTCCAGTGGTAGAGAGGTAGCTTGGTGTCCCTATAAACAGAGTGCTGAACTTGAAGTTAGGAAGACTTGAGTTCAGATCTAGCCTCAGATATTTAATATCTATGCCACCCTGGGCAAGTCACTTAACTGCTTGGTGCCTCAGATTGTAAAATGGAAAGCATAATAGCACCGACAATAGCACCCCAGGGTTCTTGTAAGGATTAAATGAGATAATATTTGTAAAGTGTTCATAATCTTTAAAGTACTATATAAATGCTAGCTAGCATTGATTTTGTTACTATTATTATTATCGTAACACTTCTGTAACTTGTTAGGTCTCTAAGAGTTCCTGTGGCCGAAAGATTCATCATCCTTTAAAAGACTTAATGACGACCCCCTCCAGACTTATAATGTTCCTTACATGACACACAGTCCAATACCAAACCAGTATTTGAAACTTTTTCAGCTTAGTAAGGCCAGAGCTTGTGTTCCTCAATGGAGCCTTCAAGAACCTAGTATCACCTCCACTCCATGATGAGACAGACAGTTGAATTCAAGAAACAAGCATTTGCTAAGAATCAGCTAGTTCAAGGTACTATGCTTGTGGCCACAGATATAAAGATAAAAAAGCATAGTTCCTTGCTTCAAGAAGCTTACATTCTACTTGGTAATTTTTTTTAAAGTACAGATAAACATAATACAATGTCTAGCGTGACCAGAGTAAATAGGGAGAGAAAACTTTCACCTAAAGGGATCAGGAAATATTTCTTTAAGGAGCTGGCCACATATTCTAAGCCTTTACAGGAAGGGAAGGATTCTGAATTGGGGAAAGAAGAGAGGGGCATTCCAAGGACTGGAAACAACCTGTACAAATGCACCGGGTCAAGAAATGACATGTTAAGCTTGGAATCCAGTTAGGGGAAGAGTATAATATAAAGCTAGAATGACATATTATAGCCATACTGTGGCAGGTCTTAAATACCCAGCTGAGTAATTACTAATTCATTACACAGGCAATGGAGAAGACTGAAGGATTTTGTACGTGAGAGTAGCCTAATTATACCTGGAAAAGAATTTAACTTCAGAATTATTCTGATATTGGCTGTTTGCTTAGAAACCACTTCACAAGAAATTGATACTATTTTATTAATTGTGGAGAAGTTCATTTGTAGAGACAATGTATTCTTCCTCATCCCCAAAGAATGTACTCATAGGATTATAGGCTGGTCACCAACTAGATTTTTTTTCTAAGAACCGTGAACCATGGTGAATCTTCAACTGATTTTTCTCACCACCCTCACTCTAATTCCTCCTCAATAACAGGTATGTTGATCCTTCTGTGAGGCTGACAAAGCCACAGATCATAGATTTAGAGCTAGATGAGACCTTAGAAACCACCCAGTCCAATCCTTCCTTTTATAGAAGAGGATACTGAGGCCTAGAGAGGGAAAGTGACTTGCCAAAGGTCATAGAGAAAGTTGTATCAAAACTCAGACTAGAACCAAGTTCTCCTACTTCTCTGGAGTCTCCTCCATCTTTTGTTTGGGAATATCAAAGTGTTCAGAAACATAATGGAGACACCTCCCTGAATGGCTAGGCTGTAACTAAGGTGGGGCCAATTGGGCTTTGTCCCAAAACGCCAAAATTGAGAGCACTTGCACTCTACTGAGTATAGCACTTAATTGATAAGAATAATTTGTTAAAATAGGGAACAACCATCTAATACTTTTCATTGCCTCTTCTGCTCTGCTCCACTATGGCCATACTATCAGTGAAATCCTTCCCATATGGTCCTACTCTGCTCACTCTCCCTGCAGTGGTTTTGTGGCATACCAGATCTCTTTATCCTTGCAACCAGATAACATCCTGGAGTCTCCCCTCGTGGAGATTTGTGTCTTGAGGACTGAGATATCTCCCAACACACATATTTATACACACAGCCTGAGTTGAATTTGATTTAATAATTTATCTCAATCATTTAAAAAGCAATATGAAGGCACCTGTCATGTTGTTTGTGTTTGCATGTTTTGGTATGCTTGCCTCAGGCCTCAGAATAGGTAGTCACCACTCTACCCAATGAAACATAAAATGAAGGTAAGGGCTCTTTCTCCCTTTCTCTCTGGTCTTATCTTCTATTGTCATAATAATAATAACAACAATATTATTATTCATATAGTTCTTTAAGGCCTACTAAAACCTTTACATGCTATTTCATTTGATTCTACTATGCTGTAAGAGGTAGGAGCTATCATGATCCCCATTGTGTAGATGAGGTTATTAACTGATTTGCCCAAAGTCGCACAGCTAGTTAATATCTGAGGCAGGATTCAAAATCAGGTCTTCCTGACTTCAAGCCAAGCACTCATACCTATCATATAGTAAGTGCCTCTATCATATGGTACATAATTGGGAATGGTATATATGGGAGAGACCAAGGGAGAGTATAGACAAAAGAAAGAATAGAGAGAAATAATAACTTAAAAGAGAGCTAAACTACTTTAAACCAAAGACTCCATTCAATTTGGTTTGATTCAAATTATATAGAAAGCATGCACACTGACATATAACTCATATGACTTATACAAACACTAATATAAATGACCTGAAGAAGGAAAACATCATTTCAGAGATCTTTAGCTCTAAATCTGGGGCTTAGCCCTGGAGGAAGATTAGGAAGTGGCTTTCTCTGTCACTTAGATAAGGGAAATTACTTGACTAGACCACTAGCAAATTGTTACAGATTCACTCTCTAAAGTTTGGAGTTTGCTTAAAGTCTAAATAAACAAACCCCCTTTTAGAAGACACCTGCTTTTCCCAAAAGCCCACTACTTTTCATTTATCTCTTCTCTGAAATGAGGACCAACTTTCCTTACAATTCTGTTCTGAAGTTTAAAGGCATTGCTTCGTAGCATATCAGCTGTAAACAAAGGGATCCCAAGTCATCCAAATAGATTTTCTTTGTAAAAACTCAGAACCAGGTATTCTGTGGCAAAGCAGCAGCTTATCATTCTTTAATCCTCTTTCTGGCTGATTGAAAAGGAAGTATCACGTCTGTGTATCTGTCTGGGAAGCTAAAGTAGCAAGGTGTGGAGATTTTCATCAAGTATCAACACAGAAGGTCACAAAAACTTGTGATAAACTGAGACTCTAGTCATAACATACTCAACACTCATTATTTCTAAAACCTTGTCTTGGCAAATAGGGATGGATAGCAAGGTAGGACTAGGGACTTGTCATCAGGACTATTCCTGAGCGGCTTTATACATCACACCAACAAAGTAATTTCTGAGATAACCTCATCCCAAACTATAATATGCAGAATCGTTAAGATAATACCATATCTCTCACTCTGCAGCAAGGCAAACCTAGCAGTGAATCAATGAATCAATCAGTCAGCATTTATTAAGTGCAAATAACAACTGGCAAAAGGTGATGAGGGCCTGAAGTAGCGTAGTGAGTGTGTGAATTGGGAAAAGGAGACAGAGGCACAGGGCACTTAGCCTCCAGTCTGTCATCTATAAAACTGGGGTAGTTCTCCTAGATTTACAAGTGTCATAGGATTATTTTGACAGTCAGATGAGATGATGGATTCAGATTATGGTAAACTATAAAATAAATGTGACCAAAAGGGCAATAAAAAGTGGCATGGTGGATACAAGTAGACTAGCGTGTATTTCCATTATGGAGGAAATAGTATAATGGATTTCATTAAGGAAATTTATGAAGAGGAAAGAAGTGAATCATGCATATGTTCAAAGTAAGGGATAACAGAGGGGTAGCTTAGTATGGTAAGTGGCATAGCAGATAGAGTGGTAGACTCATAGTCAGTAAGACTTGAGTTCAAATCCTATCTCACTTAGAAGCTATATAAAAATGGGCAAATCATTTAACCTCTCTCAGGCTCAGTTTCCTCACCTAGCAAAAGGGTTGTAACACTTATTATGTAAGTTTGTGGTGAAAATAAAATGAGATTTTACATTTATATATGCACATGTGTATACACACATACATGTAAATATGTAGATATATCTATATGAATATATATAATACATATAGTGCTTTGCAAGCTTTAAGACACTATATAAATATTAACTATTTTCATTATTGTCAGAGAGACCTAGTCCTTGAGAAAAGGCTCCTAAATGTTGAATGAATCATCCATGGAAGATCTATGGGAGACTATGGATAAAAATCATATAGGATGAAAAGATACAATTGGTTTGCAAATAACAGTAATGACAAGTATACCCACATTGGCGAGATCTCACATCCTTTGAAGTACTGGAATACTGAAGTACTATTTATAACCTCTCAGAATCTCAGCCTCTTCATCTGTAAAATGAGGAAAATCATACTCACCTGCTACAATACATTTCTTATGTATTGAAGATATGTCCAGACTGATGGAACAGTACTCCCCCTATACTTGAAACAGCTTTTTGTCCCGCTACCTATTAAACTTCTATCTATTCTTTAAATCCCAGCTTAGTTGCCAACTCCTCCAGACTTCCTGAGCTCTTCATTTTGATGACCTCTCACCTCTGAAACCTCACATAGCACTTGGCTTGTACATTTCATGCACCTATCATTGTATTCTTTTATATTATGGTTATTTTGTATTACACGTTAATGTCATGTGACCCTACTCAAATGTAAGATCCATGAAGGTAGGGATTATGTCATTTAAATTTCATCTCTCTAGTGCCCAAAATAGTGTTCTGTACACAATAGGTGCTTAATAAGTGAACTGAAATTAGTTAGTGGTGGTTTCCCCCCTGGGTAATCAGGTTCTAATTTCTAATCCCACCCTCTTGAGTCCAGAAGTAATAAATAGAGATAACAATAAATAAAGATAGGCAGGAGGGATGAGAACTTCACTTATAGCTAATTGAGTTGTCCTGTCCTGTCCTTTACTTAGAAAGAAACCTCTCTCACCCCACCAGTTTTATGGTCCTAACCCTAGAGATAATCCTAGAACTGTTGTGAACATTTTCTTTTCTTCTTCCTAGGGAACATCCAGATCAGACCAGGACTGGCTTTAACAGTGAGAGTCTTCTGCTCCGTGGGTGCACCATCAGGAACACAGAGGTGGTGGTCGGCATTGTCATCTATGCAGGTCTTTTCACTTAATATGCTTTTCTATCAATCTGGGATTTGATTTGATTTGAGTGCTGGGCTTGGAGTCAGGAAGACATGAGTTCAAATCCAGCCTCAGATGCTTACTTGCTATGTGATTCTTGGCAGGTCATTTAACCTCTGTTTGCCTCAGTTTCCTCAACTGCAAAATGGGGATAATAATAGCACCTACCTCCCACGATTGTTGTGAGGATCAAATTAGATAATATTTGTAAAGTACCTAGCACAGTGCCTGGAACACAGTTGGCACTTTATAAATGCTAGTTATTATTAGCTATTTTCATTTCTTAGGCAAACTGAGGCCTGGAGCCATGGAAATTCTTCCCTTTTCACTTGCTGACTCCACAGGCCCAGCCCTCCTATGAATCTAAGCAAGGTTCCCCACTGTGCATGTGGATCTAAGTATGAGAGACATTCACAGTTGCCTGCTGTGAAAAGTTCTGGCCAATGCAAGGTAAACTGGGATAAAGATATCTCTAGCTGTAAAGGATACAACTCTCTGAAGCCAACTCCATTGATATGCCTTTTTCTCTCATTTTTGTACATGTTTTTCAAGGCTGGGGTGAGATTACCCTAGAGGACCATCAGACACTTGCCCAGTGGTTCGTGGAATAAGGTCCTCCTTTTGGCTCTTCAGTGAGAAAGCAGTCTTGGAGCCCAGAAATCTCGCTGAGTACCTGGAATGTGACCAGCCTGCTTTGTGCAGGCTATCCCATTCTGTCCAGAAACAAATTAATTCTATAGTTGTAAGAGAAAAATATATAGCTGAACTGCTGGGAGTGTGACCAAGTTTTCCAGGTAATTTTTGAAGGGTAAAGAAACCTTAGGGAAAAACAGCTAGGAACCAGTTTCCACAAAGGAGTGAAATTTTCACAGTTATTAAAACTTATTTTTGAAGTTTTAATCACTATCATAATCCTTTCGTATAAAATTAATCAAACTAGAAAATGAATTTGTAATTTCACTAGTGTGACAGATGAATGACCTGCCTGGGGTCACCTAGCCGAGACATATCCGTGATGGGCCTTAAGACCAGGTCTTCCTAATTCCAAGGCACTTCTCTATCCACTGTTCCATACTCATCCAACTCATATATACACAGCACTTCAAGACTTAGAAAGTGCTTTTCTCACAACCACCATGTGAGATAGCACTGATATCCCCATTTGACAGAGCCATGCAGTACAATAGAAGGAGTGCTAGATGAGGCCTTGAATCCCGGTTCGATCACTTACTGAGTATGTAACATGGCAAGTCAGTTTATCTCTCTTATCCTCAATTTGTTCATCTGTAAAAGGAGGGGGTTGGATTATATGACCTCTAAGTTTCCTTCTAGCTCTAAATCTATGACCTTAAATATGAGAAAACTGAGTCGAAAAGAGATTTACTAATTTTGTCGCGGGTCACCCAGTCAGTAACTGAACATTTATTAAGCTCCTACTATGTGTCAGGCCCTTTGTAAATGTTGGGGATACAAAAAGAAGCAAAAATGCCTTCTTGGGGAAGGGAGGGAGGAAGAAAAAAATTTGGAACTCAAAATCTTATAAAAGTGAATGTTGAAAAAACAATTTTTAATTAAAAAAAAAAAGGAATGAAGGGGCAGGTAGGTTGCATAGTGGGTAGAGCTCTGGCCTTGGAGTCAGGAGGACCTAAGTTCAAATCTAGTCTCAGACCAGACATTTGACACTTACTAGCTGTGTGACCCTGGGCAAGTCACTTAACCCCATTGCCTCCCAAAAAAAAAAAAAGAGTGAGAGGTCAAATTTAACTACCCCCCCCCCAAAAAAAAGAGGCAAAAGACAGTCCCTGCCTTTGTAGGGCCTATAAGCTTGCATGTTTTGACCAAGTCGGGACTTGAACCTGGGTCATTCCAATTCCAAATCCACCTTTCTTGCCACTATGTAGCATTGCTTCCATAGTACTTTTAACTTTTTCAGTGTTTCTTTTCCTCAGAAATTTACAACTGGAGAAGATCTTAGGGGTCTACTAATTAAAGGATCATAGACATAAAACTGTAAGGGATCCCAAAATCTATTCTTATTCAGTTCCCTCTTACACATAATGGAAATAAAGCCCAGGGAGGTTAAGTCCAAGGTCACAGAGGAGGGATTTGTCAGAGGTGAAATTTGAACTCAGATCCTCTAGATTCCACTCTGAACCCAGATCTGACTCAAGATCTTTCTATCATCCCACCCTGGCTCCAATCCCATTAGTTTATAGTGAGGAAACTGAGTCTCACAGAGAAGTGACCTGCTCAAGGTTTCACATCCAGGGAGTCATTCTAGCCTAGACAGGACTAGAACCCAGATTCCTAACTTCTAAACTTGACTGCTTCTCTGTCTTGCTCTCAACTTCTCAATTATTTTTTCTCTCCCCTCGTTTATCAGATATTTGACCTCTCTCAGGTGATCTCTTTGGAAACCTAAACTGTTTTTCATCTCACTTTTGTATCTCAAACCATCAGTTCATTCATTCAACAATTTATTGAGTCAATAATCTATTTCAATAATTTACTAATTTCAATAAAATCAATAGTTTATTGCATATATGCAAGGGAAGATGCTATGCAGATTACATAAAACACAAAAAAAAACTACAATATGAGGAAGGATGTGATGTGGCCAGAAGAGAACTACAACATGCTACCAAGAAGGCCTTCAGAGGGAGGAAAGATCACTGGTGGTTGGGAAAGAGGGTAGATCCAGGAAGGCTTCATGATCCATGCTGGATCTTGAAATTACTGTCTACTTCTCTCTTTAAATGATCCCTCCTATGAATGCCAGCCAAAAAGCTTTGACTGCTAATTAAATACTCTAGTGCCAGGGCTGCCATCGTTGATTTCTGCATCATCTCGATAACTCAGGCCCAAAAGCAAACCAAATAAGCAGTCTTGCCCCACACCAGGATGTGTCATTGTAGGACCTCATTTTATGCCTCCAAATTCCATGTTTCCCAGAACATGTGTTCAGGTGGCACAATGGATAGAGCTCTGGGCTTGGAGTCAGGAAGACCTGAGATCAAATCCAGCCTCAGCTATTTACTAGCAAGTTACTTAACCTCTATTTGCCTCAGTTTCCTCAACTATAAAATGGGGATTATAACAGTACATACCTTGAAGGGTTGTTGTAAGGATCATATTAGATAATCTTTGTTAAAAAGCACTTAGCACAGTGCCTGGCACATAGTAAGTGACTTATAAATACTTATTCCCTTTCCATTTATCATACTTCTGAGAATCCCTGTCCCATTGTATAACCTCTACCAAATGCCTGTTGGCGAGTCAGTAAGAAGTAAGTAACAGTAACAGTAAGTTACTGTTACAGTAAGTAACAGTAAGAAGGCCTATGCCAGGTGACAGCGCTATGCTGATCACTGAAAGGGGGCTGTCTGGGTTGGGTTTTTGTTTTTTTTTTTTTAAGCATGGGTTGCATGGTTGACAGACATTTTGGTGACTTTCAGTTTAAGAGCTTTTCTAACCCAGATTTGTCTTGGCTGATCAACAGAGACGTCTACTGTCACCTTCAGACATGTATCAATTTAATAATTCTGTAAACATTTAAATGCCTGTTATGTGCCACAGGATAGGGATACACAGGCAAGAATTGAATAATCCTTGCCCTAAAGAGTTTACATTCTACTGGGGAGAAACAACAAAAACACAGATAAGTAAATACATAATATATAATAATTCTTCTTTTGGTGGGAGCAGAGGTGGAATGCACCAACATCTGGAACATCCAAGAAAAGTCTAGTATAGGAAGACTTGAAATGTGTCTTGAAGGAAGCTAGAGATTTCAAGAGGTAGGAAAATATTCCAGGCATGAGAGATCGCCAGTGCAAAGTCAGAGATGGGATTAGAAACACCGTGTGTGTGTGTGTGTGTGTGTGTGTGTGTGTGTGAAGAGTCTGGACGTATAAGAACCAGGACTTTCAATTTCAAACAGAGGCATTTATATTTTATGCTGAAGGCAATAGGGAGCCAAGGTAACTTCTTGAGCAATGGAGTAACATGGTCACACCTATACTTTAGGATTATCATATTGACAATTATGTAGAGGACAGTTGTGATGGAGTGTAGAAGAAAGAGGCCAGAAACAAGGAGACAAATTAGGAGTCTATTGTAATAATCCATGGGAAAAGTAGTAAGGGTCTGAACCTGTGTGGTGGCTACATGAGTGGAGAGAAGAAAGCAGATATGAAAGATCCCATGGAGATAGCATCAACAGGTCTTGGCAACTGATTGAATATGTGGAGTGAGGGAGAATATAAAGTTAATGATAATGCCAAGGTGGCAAACCTGGGTAACTAGAAGGATGGGATACCTTTGATATAAATATGGAAATTAGGGCTTTTGGTATAAATGATCATGAGTATGTTTCTGGACAGGGTGAGTTTGTGATGTCTTTGAGACTCAGAGAATGACAAGTCCACCAGACAGTTGGTGATGCAGGATCAGATCTCAAAGGAGAGAAAAGGGCTGGATATGGAGATATAGAGGTCATCTGCATAGGTGATGACTTAAACCTTTGAAGTTGACTACATCACCAAGATAGGAGACGGCCCTAACAGAGCCCTGGGATTTATCCACAAAAAATGGCTAATGATACAGCAAAGGAGACTAAGAAGGAGTGACCAGAGAGGTGGAAGAACCAAGAGGAAAATGTCACAAAAACCAAGGGAAGAGAGAATATCCAGAAGGAAGCTGGGAGTCAGCAGTATCAAAAGCTGCAAAGATGTCCAAAAGGATGAGAATTAAGAAAAAGTCATTTGATTTATCAATTAAGAGATTACTAGTAATCTTCAGTCCAATGCTGAGTCAGAAGCCAGATTACAAAAGGTTAAGAAATATGAAGGACTAGAGGTAACAGAAGCAGAAAACATTTTGGAAGTGAAAGGGAGGTGATAAAGGACAACAGCTTGAGGGATTGCTGTTGTTCAGTTGTTTCAGTCATATCCAACTCTTCATGACCTCATTTGGGG